CACACACACACACACACACACACACACACACACACACACACACACACACACACACACACACACACACACTCTTTCCCTCACCCTCTTCTAGTTTCAAGTTTTATACTCTTGTTTTGTCTTTTTAATCTCGCTACCCCCCCATATCCAATTCCCGCCTTGAATAATGTATGAGAGGGAAATGCGTGCCAACCAGGAGGTCCCGTTTATCAAGTGCAGGTCCCTGTGTTGAAAAAAACAAAATAATAATAAACAGGAGAGGCAATAATGTATAAGTGCACCTAGTGTACTGATGTGTAAATGAGTATAATCCATAATTCTTAAGGAAACATGAAAGGGCATTATGGGACCAGGCATGAAAGAACCAGCAAAGATGAGAAATGGGACGGAATCTCACTTTTATACTCCACACTCGATTCCTCCTCTCACCCTTTCTCTCTCACTATTCTTGCTTTTCTTTCTTTGTTTGTTATTCCTCTGTTTCCTCATCTTCCTCCTTAGTCTTGGTCTTATGCATGTTATTTTAATTTCCTTCATAACATCCCTCTCTTTGTAATGTTATCTTCCCCTCTGCCCTCATTTTATAATTTCACTTCATTTCCTGTTCACTACACCCCGTCTCTCCTTTTGAAATTACATCTTTCTCTATTACCTCTTAATCATTTGTTGATTTACTTCCTTCCTGTCTCTTTCATTTTATTGATTTCCTCCCTACCTTCCTTCCTTTCTTTTAATGATTCATCTCTTACTCTGCCACTTTTTAAACCTACTCCTCATTATATTCTCTCCATAATAATTACCCCTCCTTTTATCCCTGTTATCTCCCTCCAACTTGCCTCCACTAACTTCCCCCACCTTCTCCTCCATCTCCAGGTCCGTCTGCTGTACTGCTCCCTGGAGGAGGCTGAGCTGGTTTTCCGGGCGGCCTTGGCGGCGGGTCAGGCCGGGCCCAGTCACATGTGGTTCGCCGTGGGACCGGCCCTGTCCGGTTTGGGCCTGGAGGGGCTGCCCAAGGCCTTGTTCGCTATTCGGCCGCAGGGCTGGAGGGACGAGCCTCGAAGGTATGAGCAGAGCAGGGAGGGCTTCAGGGGTTCACTGGCGGTGGTGCTTCCTCAGGTAGAGAGGAAGTAATTTCAAAACCTGTTCAGGTATTATTTAAAGTGACTTTTCTTTACTTTGCAATGATGGACGTTTGGGGCTAGATATATACAAAACAGATGTGGACCAATAAATAATCACATCTGCTTTTCTTAAACACAACATGTATTTACCTTCTGTATTTGAGATGAAAACTCTAAACTCAAGGTTCACTTAGCTATTCCTGAAGCTTCAGGCGTACTGCACAGCCTTCAGGAAAACCTAAGGTAGTGAACCCTGACTCTACAATTTGTATAACAGATGTGTTCCCAAGGTCAAGAATGAAACGTATGCTCAATATTTATTTTGCTGTAGTTTGTAGGACAACAAAATCCTAAATGCAGTGAATTAAACAAGGGTGTGTGGACAAAAAATTCAACTTTTCATCTGTAAAAAGGAAGATTGTAGATGTTGTTTATGCAAAAGTAACATCACTTTGCTTTTTAAAGTGCAATGTTTGAGATCCGAACAAATCGGCAGCATCTCACTCTTACTACTGGCTCCATACAATCTACAGTCATCGGGTAAAGAAAAGGAAAACAACTTAACCGACAGCAGGGCAAGAATACGCAGAATTCAACCAAACTCTGAGAGCAAAATAACACCATTTTGTAATCTTCAGGTGGTGTCGGCCTATCGTTTACATCCGTCGTGGAGGCTGTACAGTTTGTGTAGGATTTGGTTTCTTTATTGGATTAAATCCAGAGTGACACAAGCGAGAAAATGAAGTTTCGTTTTGTCCTCCTTACTGCAAGGAGACTACTTTTCCAAAGAACTGGCCTCCTGGTGGCAATAAAAATCCAATCGCAAAACTACCAAAACGTACCGGAACCAACCTTCCACATGATTGGCAACCGCCCGGAACAGCTCTACGTCTTCACTCTATCGAGGACAGGCTGGACACTACAGCATCTCTCTATCGCCCTTCAAGGAACCAGACGGGCCGGGGCTAACTAGTTAGCATGCTACTCTCAGTAGATATCTCTGCAGCACAACACATAGACTGTAACCTCTTCACATGCTGCTCAGAATGTGAGTTCATTTTGTAAATGTTTTAAAATTATGACCAGATCTTCCATATTGCACCTTTAAAAGTGAATGTCCTTCACACTTTTAAATAACACCAACCATGCTCATAACATAGCTATGTTCAATGGTTTATATCTCTAAAACCTGCCCCTACCCCTCAGGGAACCCCTAAATACAACCTGAAATGTCAAATAATAACTAGAACACTCTGAACCTTTAATGCTCATAATATTGTGCATGTTCTTAAATTATGTTTTACAGCAGGAGAAGCCTTTTACAGTATTCACCGTTGTTTTAGTGTACGTGTACAGTATGTTGTGCGTTTATTACTGTGACGGAAAATCCAGCTCCGACATTGTTTCTTTTCTCTCAGCTGAATTGGGAATTTATATGTATGAAGTGAGTTCTGCGATGCCGAGCCTCAAAGCTGCTGAAAGCCGAACCTCATGATCTTAAAAATACATGAGGATCAGTGCAGAAATACACATTCTCTTCTTCAACCCCTGAGAAATACACTTTGTGCACCTCCTTGTTTTTCTTGCAGCAACACACAGAAGCGGTGCACCGTAACATTTTACGAGCGCCTGCTCCATTCATGATGTATTCTCTGCTGCTGGGATGACCTGATTTCACCGCCGGTATTATTACATCTTCATCTAATCTAATCTCAATAGACTGACCAGGTGAAAGGTGGAATCCCTTATTGATTTCAAGCATTAAATCCACCTCAGTCATGACAGGAAGCACAGGGAGAGGAAGGTTAGAAAGGATTTCTAGCCAACTCAACGATGGAGGGCAAAGATGACCGATTGTGTTTTATTGCATCAGAAATCCAAACTGGGTTATTAAGGATTCCAAACTGTTAAATACGTTTTATATCTTTCCATAAAACAAGTCAAAATAAAAACAGATTCCTAAACGTGGAATGCATGAAATACCCACTGAGCTCAAGGATATGACTCTTCTTTCAGCATCATCCCACACATCATCTCGGGTGTTGCCCCGTCGCTCTCTGTGCTTTAATAAACACCCTCTGACTGTCGGCCATCTTGAAGGAATGGGTCTCTCTGAAGACCTGAATTCACCCGCAACCATCAACCATAAACTCAGACTAGAATTTATGATGCATTCAGGCACTCCTCTCCGTTCACTATTTTATCACCAGCAAATAAGTTCAGTTCTTGCACATCAGAAAGTCTTAGAACACAGACAGGTGATCTCATGAGTCCGAAAGAATCAAAACTCTTGCGTGTACTCACATTTACTTTAAAGTATTTACAATGAGTTGGTCCTCTGACAAACAATGTACCAGGTTAAAAGTAGTAATACATCCTCTCAAAGGACTGGGTGGAGCAAAGAGAGAAAAACGGTAGGGCAGAAATCAAAGCTTAAAAGTCAGCAGTGTTGTTATTAAACCTGATCTAAAGTCTCACCAACAAACAGGAAATCTAGCACTACGATAGCAAACCAAAAACTTCCCCGGCCGAGCTGCTGTAGCCGACTTAGCCGTTCAAATTACAAGACAAGTTTGACTGAGGGCTTCTCACGCTAGGCCACATAAAAATGAACTGTGATTGTCTTTTACTCTTTCATGATGGGGAGATGAGCTCCAGCTGAGTGGCTTCCCACACATGCCCTTAATACTGTCATATGGGAGTGGGTGGAGCCACATGGCAGGAATGTAGATGCCTCCAATCACCCTGCTCCTTACCCCCGTCACACCTTCATGTCTGGCTTCCATTATTAGCACCCTGTCAGCGGTGGAACATAACAAAGTGCATGTACTCAAGCACCGTAGGCCCAGGTTTAAGATACTTTACTTCAGTATTTCATACACATCTTAACATTTCACTACACTTTTCATTGCTCTGTTTGAATGGAGATATTCACCAGTGACTGAAGGCAAATACGTGGTAATAATTACTTGGTCATGTGATATTTCCTGACTTAATGAGTTGATTAGAATCGCCTGAATGCACCGTTGAACAATTGACCAGTGGACGATGGTTTATTGGATACTAAGGGGTGCAAATGATACACCAGCTGTGTGCTCCAAATCCCAACAATTAAACATTTCAGATGCATGTGACAGAGTAATCCCCGCCTCCCTTCAGTGGTATATTACAGTAAGTCGGCTATCTGCTGCAGTGTTTATGACTGCCGCTGCTGATGGATCCCCTAGAGAGCATTTCTAGGCACTAAAGAAATGATGCTTATGATGTGGTCCAGTAGTTTTTGTGAAGACATTAAAGAAACGGCACCCTTGCTGCGATGGGAGCAGAGTCTCCCCCCATCGCACCACTAACAGCTCCTTCAAGTGTGAAATAAAATGCAGCCTTGTTGACAGACTCAACATATCGTAAGACACAAGAGAAGATTTTCTTAACATAACATGTGGGGAAGAGTTGCCATAACAGTTTTTTCTATGTGATATATTTTCAGGCACACGACCCACACGCGTCTGCTATCACAAACCACTTGAAGGTTTTTTTCAAGATGTCAAATATTAAAGCGTGGGCAGTGGCACCTTGACACTGCTGCTGAAACAGCAAAATATTCTGAGTACGGATGAGATCATGTTGGAAAGTGGATGCTGTCCGATGTTACAATTGCAGCGCATGGGAGCCTCAATTAACAGCGTCAGTTACGCTAGTAACATGGCTAAACAATAATTTCATCGAAAATCAACAATATTTCAGTCAAGCAAATGTTTTTACGTTGATTTCGTATCAAGTTTGTAATGAGATACATAATGTGTAACACATAATGGGATTAATATTAAGACTCACCAGATGTACCAGCTGGCATGTTTGTGTGTACAAATTTGATTGATGGAAGTTGTAAAAATTCTTTACAACCATAATCTCATTAAGAATATAAGTGAGTGACATCTGAATAGAAGTACTGGCCAATATGGCTCATGCTTTTTGGAGAGGCCCGTTCCCACAGATAGACCCTCTCTGATGTCTTCTTCCTCTGGCTTCCTCTCCCTACAACCAACCAAAGGCGGAGAATTGACCAATCTTACAAATGTATCGTGTGTTAGAGGTGAGCAGCTGGTCGCGCTCATGCTTTGGCGTTCATTGGAGAACAGAATTAGTATGCATGACATGTGTAAACTATGTTAACTAACGAAGGACAGCTACATGCAGACACATACAAACAAACAAATATACTCACCGTCACTTTGAACGTTTCAGGGACGGCGTGTTACCTTCATTGTGTCTTCTCAAAATACACTTCTGTGTTTACAGAAAACGTACAGTTTTCACTGGTTGTATGCATTAAGTGTCTTTTTCAAAATAAACTCATTTCAAAATAAACTTCCAATGTAGTTAGGTAGTTGTACTTAGGTTAGGTTTAGGGCAAAATTGTGGTATGGGTTAAAATAAGCACATTTGTTAAATAAAACAAGTCGGATTCTTACGTAACTGGCATACGTTTGGTGCGTAAGTTACATAACAAAACTATGGTAAAATAAGTCAACCACTGTGTTCAACAGTTCGCAAATCTTACGACTTCTCATTTTTTGTGCGTTTTCCTACAAAAGCCATGCAGCAACATGTTTCAATTTGTGTTCCTTACATGATACAGTCTTTTCTAAATAGACTTCAGTCTTCACAGGAAACAACTTACGTCGCATTGTTTTTCGTAGGCATAGCTGAGAATGCGGGATGAGACCAGCCAGGTTTTGTTTGACCAGTCTTTCCTTCTCTATACTGTGTTGGTTGCTCTGAGCGTCTAATAATGTCCTGGATGGGTTGACATTGGAGCTAAAGGGTTCTTCGGTGCATCTACATCAGACGCTGAGGGACTGTCACCATGCGTCAGTATTAAACAAGTTGGGAGTGAGAATGAGGAGGAGATCCTGGTCATATTTCTCAGCGATATTTCGTTCTGCACTGACCGACGTGATGTGGCATTTACGCAGCAAGAGAAAAAGTGCGTCACACGTTTTCCTCTACCGTACCAGCGATGTCACAACCGTTAAAGTGACAGGAGCGACATAGTACAACTGTGAACGCCCTTCTTCCTCCCCTGAAGACACCATGACTGTGAATTAATTCCCTGGGTAGAGGACAGGATTTGTGACATCCCAAATTTATGCGCAGAGCACTTTTGAACTCTCTTCAGCAGTCCTTCCCCACTTCATGTCCACCCCGCCAGCTTGTTTGAAGTGGTAATCCTCTGAATTAGGGAAGCATTGAAATGCTTTGTACATGTGGGGTCATTAGATTTGGGGTTTCCTGCCTGGCTGGAGCAGGACTCTAGCCAGAACTTATTGTTGGTCTTAAATGTTTATTTTACATAATGAATGCTTTTCATGTCTAATAAGATGTAAGAATTAAGAGCCTGGTGTTGTTTTTATGTGCTGAGTTACAAATCAGAGTTGACTTTACAGCCGTATTAAAGAGCAGTGCCCGTTATGTAGTCGCTTGCTCTGTGAAATCTTCCTGCAGATCAACGTCTGATCTATTATTAAATGACCCTGAGACAGACAGCAAGAGAGCCTGCTGATATTTATTCATTGGAATGAGGGAATCTTGAATTTTGGAACTGGATGTTTCAGTGTTGCGCTGAAGTCGTGCTTGCATTGGTTTACCGGCTCCAGCTGCTTCATTCATGCTTCACCTTCACCATTCATCAGCTGCTCAGAAAGCAGCTGAATAGCAACATCCATTCATATTCATACAGCTGAACAAGGTCGCTTTCATAACCATCCAGTTTTCCTCCTTAAATTAAATGAATATTCTTCTTTTCCTTTAACTCGCAGCAAGACAGCAAACAAATGTATTTCATGAAATGCTGCCCTATCCCTTTAAAACCCAGAGATCTCGACAGCACACTGGTGTTTCTCAGATCGGACTCTGATGATCTGTATGAAAGTAAAGAAGAGAGGAAAGAGACCCAATGCTGATCAGTCCGGTTTTGAGCTGGATGGGAGAACATTTCGATTTTGCTCTTTAGTCTTGATTCATCACTTTCTGTGTGCATAGAAGTGCATATCCCCAACACAGGAAACTCATTTGTAGAAATTGGGCAATTCTACAGCGTTTCAGTCAGTGAAGATGTAATTGCTTTTCATTTTGCTGAAGTCCCACACAATTTAAACTGCTAAGATGGGTGATTTCTAACGTTTTGCATCGTTTTAGCTCTGAGGTATTGAGGAGAGAAGTCCATTTCCCTCCATGAGTTCAGTGCTATTAAGTCTTTTTGAATTTTCATTGTTACTGTGTGCACTTATTCAAGCGGGGACAACTGTCTTTCTGCATTTCCCTGGACCTCGGCAGTGTCAAAAATGTCCCACTGTCTCCGTCTCACATTGTTCTCTCCCTTAATCCTGCAGGCGCATTGCCAAAGGCGTCTCTGTGCTCACCCACGGGGCGATGGCTCTGCGGAGGGACCAGGGGCCCAGCAGCCGGTCGCAGTACGCCGGCAACTGCCAGAGTGACGGCAACCAGACCCACCGAGTGCCAGACAGAATCAGGTGAGAGAGTGTGGGGGGTGGGGGGTGACTTTAAATATCAGCTCCTGCTGACACACAGCAGAGTGAGCGAGCAAACAGCAGAGCAGCGTGGAAACGCAAATAGTGGCAAACAGCTTCGGTGGTGCTTCCACACTGAGAGCAGATCCAGAGAGCTGAGTCACTCCGGCCTGGAAACAGCTGTTCTGGTTCTATAGTGATGTGTGACTGGTGAGGCGCTGCATGGTGGCCACTGATGGGAAAATGGATTTCTGTGTTACTTGCTCTACTATGGATTTAAAAGATTGATTACTATAAATCATGATGATGAGGTCAAACAAATGTCTTTTCTTTCTTTGGCTTTACGTATTAACGTATTTCATAATAATGAGAGACCTTGATAGTGAGAGTTTATTGATTCTGCATCGACACACATTGTGGTGCATTCATGTCCTGCAGGAAAACGACTCGTCCTATTGGCGGCGCTATAGGCATCTGATATGAGGAAGCTTAATCAGGGTATTTTTGAAGTAAAATGCATCAGTCTGGGGCACTTTGAGAGCAAAAAGAACGTTGTGCTCTTGTAAATGGTTCCGTGCTCTAGTAGAAAATGTCATCATAAAGATATTGATGGTATAAATATGAATAGTGATGACAGGGCAAAAAAGTCACACTCACAAAGCATGGCAAAAGGAGAGACTGCCCCGGAGGTCTGGGGGAGGAGTTCTGTGAAGCTCACGATCAGAGCCACATGACACCTTCAACCCGGGCCTTCCCAATCTGACCTGAACCCAGTGCGGTGCACTGTGGAGGAAATGCGTCGGAAGAGTGCTAGCCAGCGGCTTTACTCAAGGGGATCCTCCCACACCGAGTGTCCGTTCCTGACTCGCCAAGATGAACCACGTGGGCGGTTTGCATGGACCCCGGCCATTAAAAACCATAGAAATATGTTCAGTCCATTATAGTTATGATATAAGTTTGTTCAAGGTCATTTTATGTTATTTTCCTATCATTTTTCAAGTGATTAATATGGCCGCTTATGGGAACTCAGAAGCTTTTGTTGCAAAAAATGTTGCAATACAAGCTGTGTACAAGACTCAGGGGCGTCTGAAGGATGTGGTCAGTTCCTTTAGAGTATTAAAGGCCAGGCTGAACCTGCTCCTCACCCTCTATTACACTGTTCGGCCTCATGGAAAATAAAACTAATTGTGCTTTTGGTTAGTCATGTCAACATGACAGCAAGTGGCAAGTCCATAGTGTTTACGGTACGGTAGCAGAACCATGTACAGTATCTTTTATAATATATAAAACATCCGTGCTTGTCCCTCTTGCACAGAGGGACTTCTAATATGTGCAGAGGAAATGTGCAGATGGGCAAAATAGCAGAAGTCCAACTTTTAACTGTGTGCTTGATTGACTGCTGCTGCTCTTTGGCACAATCCCCTCTGGGAAGCGTTTGGAGAAGTCAGGTATCGCTCTCTCTTCAGCTGTCGGGGTTACGGGAGCTGTCTGGGCACCGGCTGCTGGACTGGCTCTGGAGATTTGTGCTGAAAAACATTCACAAATGACTTGTCTGCAGGAGAGATGCAGAATATTTGCATGAAGGGTGGTTTGTACATTGGGTTCTATTTACTAAACTTTCAGGAATAAATCTCTGTATCAGAGACCATCGTGCACGTAAATGAGAAACTACAGATAATGTCAAAAGGCCCTTTAGCAAGGCACCGAATCCCCCACTGCCTTATTTGAAGCGCTCAGAGAGGACTGCAGCTGTGCTGGCTCTCAGGCCTAACTCAGCTCTTGTAGTGCTAACTGTATCTGCCCGCTCTGGAACAAGCACCCTCTCGTCCAAATATCGTCACTTCAGGTTTCAAAATAAGACAAAATTATGATCTTGAGAATTTGACAAGTCGACAAACCAACGGGTGACGTCACAGTGACTACGACCACGTTACAGTCTATGGTCAAACCAGAGTTTTTTTAATCAAGCAAGTCTGCATTCAACTCTTTAGTTCCGAGCGAAATAATGTATCTCCTGTAATGTTAACGGAGAAAACTGGAAGTTTACACCTGTTCCCTGTAATTATTGAAAGGCACTCTGGGAAATGTTCCTCCTGAAATAGATGCAGATGAGGCGCGTTGAGGGAGAGTGAGCCCAACCAAAACTCTGAATTACAGCAGCAAACACCAGGAACATAACAGAATGGTGCAGATATGAGAGATTGATGACAGCTTCAGAGGAATCTTCCCGGCTCAGACAACAAGTTCCACTGCAGATGGAAGTTTACCGCAGGTCGCCTGCCTGCGCTCTTTAATGAAGTGAAGAGGTTCATTTTAAACTCAGTGAAACATTTCATGCCCTTCAGAATCTGGCTTTTGAATGCTCTCAATCAGCGGCAGGGCTGTCTGCCACGCTGAGAGACGCCGGGGCTCCTGGGAGTCTGAACCAGTGGCAGTGGTAGTCCTCGCCACAGCAGCATGAATGAGACCTGTAGCACGTGAAGGGTTTTTACTCTCCAGGGAGGTGAACACATTACCAAAAAGGGCTCCGCAAAAACTCAACCTCTTGGTTTTTTTAACAAATGTGTGGCCTTCTTCACATCTCTACACTGGGAGTGTCTGAATTCATTCCACTTCATGAGTTCTGCATTTTAAATGTACATTTTATTAATGGCCACACATGTCATTTTAATAGTCAAACATCAAATACAGCAGGCTGATCTCATCCAGCATTTATAACTAAACTTTAGAGCGAAATGCGCCATTATTGGTAGATATCCCACAAAATCTTTTGTATGTGGACCATGTAATCATGAATGAGGAAGTAAAAATACTTTAAAACCCCACAGAGCACTGACTCCCTGGATGCTTTCACTTGTCAGGGATCAGACACACGCTCCAACAGCCCGTTGCACCTTCTATTTGACAAGTCTTGAAATTGCTGGGGCTGCTTTCTTCCTGCTGGTTTAATGTGATCGAGTGAGATGCTGGGTTCAGCGTCATTTCAGTTGCCATTATCAGCGGAGGAAGACCCTGTAAGTGGCTACTTCCGGAGACTGTGTTGTTACACTTGAGAGGTGTGCAGCTGAGGAAGATGGCTGCATTCACTTCCTCCTAACATCAGGGTTTAGTGGCACATCAGGCGCTGGTTTGAGAGAACTCTTCTGTGCTTCTTGGTGCATTTCCACTTGGCCTTAGAAATAAGAGCTGATTTACCCAACCGGCAAGAATAGGTAGAGGGGCAAATATGCCAATTTTAGGAGTGCTTTTGGTTTGCATGTTCCACATTTGTATCAGTGTGTCAAGTAGTGTGGGACCTGAAGTGGTTTGGTCTTGATCTTGTCTGGGTCTCGATACACTCTGGTCTTGGTTCATGATGGTGTTGACTAGAAACAGCCCCTCATCAACAGTTTAATCTCCAACGGCTCTGTAATTCTATTCCATCCATATAGGCAACATGTACAGCAACTTGAAAACATCCACTTCTGAATCCTATCAATCTTCCGACAATCGTGTTCATCGGCTTTAAAATCCGGTTCAACAAATCCTTTGAAGACGGCAACGAGCACGAGCCAATCAGAAGAGTAGGACGGGTCCTCGTGGAACGCAGTTTTGTTTAACATTCACATTGAAGCCTTCGTCTGATTGTGAGCTCACAGAAAACCCTTTATTATTGTCGGAATAACACTCCCCACATGATTAATGTTATCACTTATTGTGAAGCTCCTCTGAAATAAAAGAGTCTCCCATGCAGCTCTCTTTGTTTTTGAAAAACTGAGGTTTGAATACAAGTTAGTGTTTTAATCATTATGCTTTCAAATCCATGACATCCTCTTTCACACTGACGTAAACCTCTAAACGGTGTTGATTAATGGAGCCGGCAGCGCTCCTCTGTTTGAGTGAATAGTACCGAACGACTGGGAAGCAGAGCGAATGCATGCTCAGCAGATCTCCGCTGAATAATTAATCATTACGAGACAGTAAAACAAAGTTGACTTCAATAATTATTGTATGGACTTTCTGAATTATTGAGAATGCTGTATTAGATGGCACTCTTCTACACACACTTGTACATTACATCACTGAAGTCGATGGGACAGCCTCACACACACACACACACATCATGTGTGTTCCTTTTTCAGAACGAGAGACATTTAAAAAACCAAATCCACACACAGGAAAGTCAGATGAGACAATACGCATGTTTTGCTCCCTAATGATCTCCATTAGTCAAGTCTTTCTGCGCTTTGTGTGGCGGCTGAGACAGATGTGTATTTAACAAAAGAGACATGGCTGCGTGGCTGCGCTCACCAAAAAGCCTCTGAACAACCAGCTGCTCACGTCTACAGACACCGGCAACACAAATATCAGGATGTACGGACAGAAGAGAAGGAGGGATGGTGTGTGAGGACTGAGGAGACAGGAAATGTGTGAAATAGAAGTTTGGCAGGCGGAGCTGGAGGAGAGCTGAGAGGGTGGAGAGATAGTGGAAGATGGAGACAACGTGACACAGAGACGGAGATAACGATGAGGATGATGATGGTGATGGTGGTGGTGATTTGGCTGTCTGCTTCGAGATCGTTTTGATGCTCCCGGCCATCAGATTACAAATAGCAGCGGCGGAGCACAATCTGAGGCGGTGCAATGAAACAAATGGGAAGAAAAACGCATCGCAACAGCACAGAGTGGAACTCAAAATAATGACATTCAAATAAAGGTCACAATGTGCTGCTCACTGCAACACGCTGGAACACAAAAGAAATCCAACACACGAGGCAGCAAAGCGCTGTCTGTCTGTGCGTCCTTCTCATGTCTGGAGACACGTTCATCTGATCTACTTCACACTTGGCGGGTGTTGTGCTGGGGACCCGAGGACGTGCAGTGATGAAGCTGGTGCTATTTGCACCACATCCACCTGACGGACACACAGTTCTGACTTATTATCATCTTAAATGTTCGTTATAATGACAATAATAATACATTTATTGATGGAGAACTTTTCAAAACAGCTGTTAAAAAGTGCT